TTTACTCCAAAGAAGTTCATAATACTAATTATAAACATTGTTTGATTTTGAGAGCTTAAGCCAGTCCTATCTCGAGTAATGTCTTTATTGACAAGGATTAAATCGGATCGAAGCATAAGTGGTATATCGTTATTATAATTTTTTTTTTTTGCGTTGTTTGATATTTTTTGTTGATATTCATACTCATCAGAATTATAATTAGTATTACCTAGCATCAATGCCATTGATGCTAGATTATTATTTGAAAGATCTTCAATAATATTAACAAAAAATGAAAAAAAAAAAAGTACACTTACAGTTTATTTTATAAAGTAATATACACAATACACATGTAAAATATGCAATTTAGATTTTTCATGATAAAAATTGCCTGATTCATATATCGATTTTTTTTATTTGAATAATTTCCATCAGCACTTTTAATTAAGGGTTCTAAATCTTTTAAATCTAAGTAATCGTTGTTCTCGTCATTATGATATTCAGCTTCTATCGATATTTTTTTCTTATAATCTATATATCTAAGATATCTCTCTTGTCTACGTATAACCTTTTCTTCAAGTTATAAAAATATACTAAGTTAAAAACAAGCTAGTTTTTAACTTAATATATTAGCGCATGTTTTTAACTTAATTAAAAGCAGGGCAATAAATTTGCATTTAAACAAGGTAAAATCTTATTGAGCCGGTTTTCATTTTCAAATTTAATTGATTACACAAAAAAGTCTTCATTTTTGTATAGAACAAAGTCAATTTCGCTCTTTTATGTAAAAGCTTTGATACCTTGACATAGGTAAAATTAACTGTTTGATTTTTAGTTTTCGTTGTATATTACTATTTCCATACAAATACAATATTTCCATACATTGGTACAAGTAGTATGTACAAAAAGATTTCTTTATAAAAAAGAGCACTTTACTTCAAATATTTTGCAGCTGTCTTAGTTAATGCACAGCCCATCAGGTCTAGAACCATCCATGGCATTTAGGATTTATAAATAATATTTTTTAGCATCACAATTAACTTTAAATTTAAACTTTTCATGAGCAATATCTTTATTTTCAATACTCCACTAACAAGTTTGTGATTGTAAACTACTATCACAGTTTCTTAGAAGCTTTATTAACAATGAAGTTGGAGGAGTATTATCTCTACGGTTTATAGCTGTACCAAAACTTGATGCAGTTAGTCTTTTATTTTGCTCTTCAATCCTTTTTTGTTTTTGTATTGATCTTCAATTTCTGTTTTAACTTAAATTATTTTCTTAAAATTGATTAACATTATGGCAATCTTTAATTTTTGTCAGTCAAATTAGTTTTAATTAAATGGGCCCGACAGTGTAGAAATTCTTCCATTATAACTAGGCCTAAACTTTTCAACATTTTTTCATTTACTCGTTAGTAAATATTTCAGAAAATGGTTTCAGCCAAATTTAATTTTAAAAATTAACTTAGCGATTGTCATTCCTTGGTTTAATTCTATATAATAAAATATTCGGTTTAACTCATTTATTTTCAATGAGATGTTGTCTTTTGACCATTAAATTACATCTTTAGAGATTATTTTTTTTCGTCGCTGTGAAATTCCTTGTTTGTAATTAAACAAAAGGTTGCATTTAGTGGAATGCTAAGGGCTTTTTATATAGTTCAATAAATAAATTTATTTATTTATTTATGCTCCTTGAGATTTAACGCTATGTTGAATCTATTATGAGCCATTGCTATTAACAGTTTCATAATAGTCATAGAGATCAGAGTTTCATAATAACCATATGTTTATCAAGCATGTCCTTGAAGATATTTACACTTTTCGCGGAGATGATTTCTTCTGGTTGTTTATTCCACCATTTTGCAACTCTATTTGTAAAAAAATTTTTCCTTGGTCTGTTTCTTTTTATCAGCTCAATATCTACACGTGCTTTATGTCCTCTAATGTTTGAAGCTGGACCATTTGCTGAAATTGAAATTGCTGTTTTTGGTTGTTGATACCAACACACTTTGTCCAAATTATGAAATATTTTATAATATTGAATTAAATCATATCTTAATCTCCTGATTTTTAAAGAAGTCAGTTGGAGTTTTTTTAACCTTTCTTCATAGGGTAGGTGTCTTAACTCTGGAATCAACTTTGTTGCTCGTTGTTGAACAATTTCTAATTTATGTATGTCATTTTTATTATAAGGGTTCCATATTGGTGATGTATATTCAAGAATAGGTCTTACAAAAGTGCAATACAAAAGCTTCATTGTGTTTTTGTCTTTGTAAGTAAATGATTTGCTTAGTAGACCTAATCGACTATTTACTTTATTTACAACCATATTTAAATGTTGATTCCACATAGTATTTGAAATTAACAATCCAATGTCTTTTTCATTAGTTGTTGAATCTAATTTTGAATCTTTTATAAAATATTCAAAATTCTTATTATGCTTTCCAAAATGCATGATTTTACATTTTTTGATGTTGAAATTTATCATCCATTTGTCGGACCATTCAGTTAGATTATTAATATTGTCTTGCAAGCTTTTTGAGTCTACCTGGTTGTTAACTACAGCTATAATTTTGTTATCACCTGCGTTTATTTTTAATTTTAGATGGTAAATCATTAATATATAACAAGAACAATAATGGTTCAAGCACAGAACCCTGTGGAACACCACTTAACACCTCTAACCAATCTGATTTTGTATTACCAATTATAACGCGTTGTTTTCTATTTGATAAATATGTTTCTATCCAATTCAGCATTTCTTTTTCTATTCCATAACCACATAATTTTGATATTAATCTCTTATGAGGCACTCTATCAAATGCTTTTTGAAAATCAGTATATAAAATGTCTATTGAATTGCCTATCATTAGTTGGTATGTTAAAAAATCTAAGGATTCTAATAAGTTTGTTATACAATTTCCACCCTTTAAGAAACCATGTTGTTGTTTACAGAAAAGATTCTAAATAGTTTTTTAAGTTATTACTTATAATTTTTTTAGTACTTTGCAAGGTATGGATGTCAAAGATACTGGTCGATAATTCATTGCTTGCAATTTACTTCCATTTTTAAATATGGGACTCACAATTGCCATTTTCCAGAAATTAGGAATATCACTATTTGTTAGACTTTGTTGATAGATAATTGAAAGTGGTATTAAAAAACTTTCAGTGCAGACTTTTAACACATAAGGATTTACTTCGTCATACCCACCGTCATACCCTATGACGGTGAATACCCTTCGTCATACCCTATATCCAGCAGGAATATTTATAGAGTTAATTATATCCTCTTTTATTATGTATATTTGTGAAATATACTTCAAACAAGCTTCTCTAACGAAATTCAACTATAACTGAGTTGAAATATTTGTTTATATTACAATTCATTTATTCTCCTGCGGAGATAATAAGATTTATAAAAGATTTTAGCGTGAATGTAATTACCTATAAGAGAAAAAACCATTATTTATGTACGAGCAAGCCACGAATTAAAGAAAAGTTTAAAAAATTAAAAATTGCGAGTTTTCGATTTTTCTGTAAATACAAATACCATAATGGGGAAAGGTCAATGGGTTTTTATGTGGAAAAGTCAATTGAGCGATTATTAAAAAAATGATAATAATAATACAAGAAGTCGTAAAGCTTACTTTGAAACAGCCGCGATACGACCGTAAAAGCGATTGCCATTTTTTAAATGTAGGTAAAAGGTATTTCAATTTTTTAGCGCATATTTTTAACTTCATATTAGCGCCTTTTTTTAACTTAATATTTTAGCGCATGTTTTTAACTTAACATATTAGCTTATATTTTTAACTTAGTATTTTAGCGCATGATTTTAACATAATTAAAAGAAGAGCAATTAATAGAATTAAAATTAGGCAAACTTTTTATTTTGTTCCCAAGTTAATATGTTTAGAAGGTATACCAAAGTTCCATCATCTTCAGGCAAATTTTGCAATAAATAAGAGTATTGTTCTCTTTTTCTTTCAATAAAAATTTAGTTTTAGTGTATTAAATTTTAAAAACCATAAAAATATAAATTGATAGGTTTAATATAAAACTTGAGTTTTTTTATAAGAACCAACCAACGTTGGAAAAAAATATATATACATTTTTTTCCAACGGAAAAAATGTATATATATTTTTTTTCAATAATATTGTTAAAAAAATTAAAAAGAAAACTTAAAGTACTAGTTTGTAATGCTATTTAATTTTGTTGTGAACAGTTTCTCCTATGTATTTTTTATTTTTCTGTATTATTCCTAGAGTATTTTTTTTTGTTAGCAAAGGATCGGCCGGCATGTGGAGTTGTAGTTGTATGTGAAATGTCCACTACAACTTCAAAATGTCGAAAAGTGAGTTTTTTCTTTGCTTAATTATAGTTATTTCATTTTGAAATAATAATAGAAAAATAAATATTGCCGTGACTAAACGGTCGGAGGCTTCCCCAAAAAAAACCTGGTATTAGGGCATCTTTCGAACATCGCATTAGCAATAAATTTGTAAAAATGTTAATAAAAATCACAATATTTTTTATTCTTGACATGTTTTGTAGTCTTACTACATTTTCAGAAGATTTAATTTACAATTAAAACTCTGGTAAATAAATTTAAAACTGAAGACTATACAGAGAAAAAATTAACGGACAAATAAACTTGTTACAAACCAATTAAAAATTATATTACAAATTATATTAATTATGACAAAATTATATTACAAAATTATATTAATTATGACAAAATAAACTTCCTTAGATTAAAATATTAATAATAGTAATAATAATAATAATAATAATAATAATAATAATAATAATGATAATAATATAGTAAGTTAGATAGATAAATTTATAATATAATGAGATGTTTGTTTATTTAAAGAAGGATTTTCCCATTTAATATGAAGTGCTTCTTTTATTTTTAATTTGTTAATGGTAGAGGCAGTATCCAAAATCTAAAAGCAGTCATAATTAGTTAGTGTTTTACAATTAATGGATGAATTTAAATGTTTGAAAATATGCGATTGCTTGTCACTCGTAAGGTGCTTATTTATCCTTGTTGTCAAATGTCTGGAGGTTTCTCCAATATTACTGGCGTTACAGCCAGTAATTTGAAAGGTTTTAATTTTTTTGCCATAATTTAAGTGTTTTAGTGACATTTCTTGTTGTACGTAAAGTTAAAATAAGTTGTAAAACATCAAAACAGCATCGTGCTAACTAATTTTTCTTTTTTATGATATTTCGGTCTAATTTGTATAGACCATCATCAGACGTAAATTACAATTTAAAAAACCGTTACAGTATAAAATTTTTAAAAATCACAAAGAAGCCATTACAAAGAAGACGTCAACAAAAATTGTTTTGTTTTTTTACGATTTTCTTAAATAGTGGTCTCCAACTATTCGAGGCTACTTTTACCCCTTTATCTCTGTTAAGCACTAATGGGAATTGTTTAACCTCCTGAGATGTTTGCGCATAGTTAATTTCAAGTGACTCCCTTATTTTCCTTTCATGATAATTGTTATTTATAGATAGAGTTTTTGGGTGCAGCCAATCGAATATGCCATGACATTCTTTGCAATGCTCAGTAGCTCCAGAATTATGCCAATTGCCATTAATGCTATTAATTTGGTGTTCTATGCTTCTTTGCTAAAACCTCTTTTTTGTTTCCCCAATATTAATACCCCTAGACAAACACGTATGCTTGTAGACCCCCGGGTTGATGTTTGGCATTAAACTAGATTTGTTGTTACAGAGAATTGTTTTTAAATTAGGTGGTGTTGTAAAAATAACTTTGACACTATAAGCTTTAAGTGCTTTCCGTAGTTTTGGTCCATGTTTTGGCAGCCAAGGTAGCTTTATTATCGCAACACTATTTTTGAGTTTTTTTGCAATTTTACTGTTGGGATTGTTTTTACTTGAAAGGTAATTCGCGGCAATCGTTTCTAGATTCGATCTCTTATGACCGTTTTCAACAAACATGTCTATTATAAACTGAATCTTGTTCTTAATGTATTTTTCGGAGCAGATTTTGGTGGCTCGCGTTAGGAAACCTTTAAAAAATTTAAAACCTTAAAAATTACTTTTTTTGTCATAATTTGTAATTTAATTTTTAATTGGTTTGTAACAAGTTTATTTGTACGTTAATTTTTTCTTCAGTTTTTAAAATTATTTACAAGAGTTTTAATTGTAAATTAAATCTTTTGAATGTGTAGTAACATGTCAAGATTATTGACATTTATATATATATATTTATATATATATATATATATATATATATATATATATATATATATATATATATATATATATATATATATATATATATATATATACTATTATTGAAATGTTTATATATATATATATATATATTATATATATATATATATATATATATATATATCATAAATTATTTTACACATTAATTATGTGTAATTATAAGGTTCATTGACACAGTCCTTCATCCTTTATGGACTTGCGTGTCTCTTAGAACATGTATCGCTGTTAATAAGTTTGAATCTAGTATATATCATAGTAAAAGCTTTTTGTTTATCTACTGGTTTTTTCGCCAAATTCACACTAAATATTAAATCGTTTAATGATTCCCGTAGAAAGACTGTATGTGTTCAAAACGCAGGTTTAAACACAATGCATAAACAAAAATAATTTTATTTAAACGATTTATAAGAAACCTTTGTGAAATCTGGAAATGAAAAAAAGGTTTTAAAAATAAGATCTTTGTAACATCTTACTTGTAAAACCATCATCTATAAAATAAATTAAAAAACAGCTTAGTGTCTCAACAAGAACGACCAAAATGTAAAATTAAATGTATTAAGAACAAAATTAGATGCAGCAGCAGCAAAAGCAAACTGGAAGTTAGGTGTGCATAAAAAAACATTCAGAGGACGCGGTGAGAACGCTGTTTCCTCTAATATTATAAACTCCATACATTCAACCTTCTCTAGAGTTCGGAATCCAAGCATGGTCACAACACCTTTTTTTTTTTTTTAAAACATCTTCGCTTCCAATAAGGCTACAAGCAACCACAAATGAGTATTGGAAGTTACTGAAAGAGAAAAGATAAAGATTGTAGAGCAAGATAACGAATGACAGACGACTTAAAAGATTGCAAACTATATGAATCAGGAAAGCAAGATAAAGGAAGCGAAGTCCAAAGAACTGATGTGTAAGGAAAAAAACTAAACAAATAAGAGTTTTTGGAGCACTTAGGAACAGTAACAGAAAAAGGATGAGACTTAATTGGATGACGATTAACTCAAGAATGAATTTTAGTAGACGGTACAAGAGACGCTAGCTCTTTAGAGCAGTGCTCATTATAGTATTTGTAGAAAAGAGAAAGAAAAACAACATTATGGCGATGTGACAAAGGTTAAGATTGGCTGCAAGAGCAGGTCCAACTATGTTTACAATGCGTTTTTGCACCGTGTCTAAAAGAGAAAGGGCATCATTAGAAGATCCGCCCCAGATGGCTACAGTATTTCATACAAGGCCGGATTTGAATTTTATGGAGATAGACAATAGAATCCAGAGTAAGAAAGTGTCGGGCAATAAAGAGATACAACGTTAGCAAATGCTAATTTTGCAACAGATTTGATATATGGTTTCTAATAAAAATCAGAAGTAAGAGTTAATCTTAAAAGATGAATGGTAGATGACACATTGAGTACATTATGGTTCATAAATATAGGAAGATTCAAAATATTGCAATAACAATTGGCTGAAAAAAATTGAGTCTTATCTGAATTAAAGTTCACCAGCCATTGTGTGCGTTATGCTGTAGCAGAAGTAAGATCCTTTTCAAGCTCAAATGTCCCTTCCAAGCAATCAGGGGGAGATGGCTTTTTATTGTGACAATAATAATATCATCAGCGAACAATGTCACCTTAGATGTGAGAATATCTGGAAGATCGTTAATGTAAATTAAAAAGAGCATAAGGCTAATGATTGAATCTTGAGGAACCCCTGAGGTTAAAGAATAAGAAGAAGAGTGCTGTTCATCAAGGACAAATTTTATACTTCGATTGGAAAGGAAGGATTCAATAATCTTAAAGATTTTTCCAGATTCACCGTAAGAAAAAAGCTTTTCGAGAAGATCAGCATGCCTATGGAGAAGACCAGCAACTTAGTTGCGATATCCACAAATTTGAGCAAATTCGACATCCTGCAATAAAGATAATAAAACCCTTGAGACACCATACTTATGAAAAAAGATTAGAAGCACTGGGACTGACAACACTAAAAAGGAGAAGAAAAAAAAGGGGATCTCATAGAACAATAAAAAATTAATCAAAACCTTGAAAAAGTAGATTTCTGTGTTTTACAACGTTGTCTCTTTTCCAAATCAATGTTATATATCCATTAGTTTATAATTCATACACAACAAGTCAAAAACTGAATAGAGAGACTCAACCTTTTTACAAATCGCGTTTGTGCACTATAAAATGCAGTTTTCAGTAACACGATCAACTCAAAGCCTGTTAATATTTTTCACGGTCAGTCACAGTGGCAGCATCAGAATACTCGAAAACAATAGAACTATATGTATCAAACTCGTCAGCATAGCAAGGTTTGATGTCAAGCTCTGTTAAAATTTATATAATATTTTTTGTAAAATTTGGTTCTTAGATAAATTAAACTAAAATAAAACTAAAAATAGAGCACGTATACTTTTCAGACATATTTTTGTGGGCTTAATTAATTTTTTTTGAAGGTAAAACTTGAAAATTTTTTATCAAATATTTTTTAAGAAAGATTTTCAAACTTTGAACCCCGATGGGAATCTCTGGATCGAAGAATACTTCCGAAATGGTACGACGATGCTAAGTTTGGAATATTTATTCACTAGGGTGTATATTCAGTAACCGCGTTTAAATCAGAATGGTTTTGGTGGTATTGGAAAGGTTGGTTTAATGGGTTATGTAAAATATTGTTTATATCTTATTTTAGTAATTTTTCTTAATTTAGAAATTAAAAACCTTTGAAATATGCTTCGCTTTTATGGAAAAGGTTATAAGGAATACAATGATTACATGCGTCATAATTTCCCATCACAATCATACCAAGACCTAGCTTCTAAATTAAGTGGAAGTAACTTTAATGCAAATGAATGGGCTGAGTTAGTTGAAAATTCCGGTGCCAAGTAAGTGCTTTGTACCAAGTAAGCCTTTATACTACAGTAAAAATAAACTTTTATAATATACATGTTTGTTACCTATTAAGCTTTTAATAACAAGTTACTTAATGTTGTGTAAAAACCAATTTCCAAAATAAATAAAAGAATGATAATTTATTTAAAATATGTAAAAAATAAGATTTTTGACGGGTACAGTTAACACCGGCGTGCACCCATTTGTTACTGCTTGTGTAGCATTATCAAATAAAGGGTAACCAATTCTTGATATATTTAAAACTCAGTTTATTATTTATTTAATTTGAAAGTCAGTAATCGTAATATAAGAATTCAACAATATTAACTTAGTATAAGAAAGAAAATGCTGTTGTTAAATATTTCATTAGTTACGATTTCTTTATTACTCGTTATTAAACTTCATTACACGGAAATATAAATGTAAAAAATAACTAAATCAAAAGCATCAAACACCACCATTAAAGCTGAAATAAAAGCTATTGTTATGTTAGTATTGAGAAAATTAGCCAACCAGTAACAGACAAATTGACGCTAAAGCAAGCTTGGAATCAGTTAGAACCGCGCTTACAAAACGTGTTTGATGATTTGGCGTAGCTTTGTACAAGCGACAAAGAGTTTAGATAAGTGGGTGAATTTGAGTTTTACTTTTCGGAAATGTTTTTGACTTTAAATAGAAACATCTTGGAGTTTTAAGGAAATAACATCAGGCGGTGTCTAAAACATTCTGTTGCAGAGCGCAAATACATGTGCATGCCTGCTTGCAGATGTACTAATGAGTTTTCTTGACTTATGGACATGAGTAATTGACGGTGGTAATCTTTGAAACCCGAAAAAGAAAAGTTAATTAGTCTAGTTGCATCAAGCATTAGGAGTTAATTAGTTTAGTTGCATCTTGACACCAGGACTTTCAATTATGCTCTCTGAAAATTTTGAAGAGCACGTGTAAGAGCTGCATTGAATTCTAGTTGTGCCTCACTTTGTAACAACAACTTCTTTTAAAACTGTGACTTAGATTGACAAATTCTATTCAACCAAATGTGTCTGACCGAAGCGAGAAAATACTTTTTTAAGCAAAATTATTTAGATATCTTTTCCGTTGCCACTTTATTGACCAATTTTGCGAAGCATCGATTTTAGTTATAATTAAATAATAAGGTACCAAACATGTTTTATTAACTTGTTATTCTCTCTATTCAGTTTTTGACTTGTTGTGTATGAATTATAAACTAATGGATATATAACATTGATTTGGAAAAGAGACAACGTTGTAAAACACAGAAATCTACTTTTTCAAGGTTTTGCTATTTTCATACATACTGTTAAAGATGTGACAAACCGTTACATATATATAGTTTTAATCTTTCGTTTCAAAATAAGTTTGTTAGTCAGGAAAAAAAATTGTCGAATGTATGATAAAATAATGTGTATTATTGAATGCAAAACATGGTGGATGTAGTGTTAAGGTGTTTTGGTTAAATTGCTGAAGGTGACTTTGTGAAAAGAGAGGGAGTAATGACAAAAGTAGTTTACTTTTACACTTAAAAAATTATACTGCACCTTTGCAAAGATGGGTTAATGAGAAGCTGTTCATTTTTTCAAAAAGCAAATGACTTGAAGCTTAAATCTAAAACATATTTTTCAAAAACTTGTGTAAAATATTTGACTGATTTCTAGAACAATCACATATTAAATAAAATGATACAGCCTCTCCAATCAAAAGATCTCTCTCCTATCAGATTTTTATGGGTGGAATTAAAAGTAATTTCAAAAACTAATCCTATATGATGAATAAGATGTGGACAAAATATATATATATATATATATATATATATATATATATATATATATACATATATATATATATATATATATATATATATATATATATATATATATATACATATATATATATATATATATATATATATATATATATATATATATATATATATATATATATATATATATATATATATATATATATATATATATATATATATATATATATATATATATATATATATAATTAATGGTTTTTAATTTTTTTAATGGTTGAATTTCTGTTCAAAATGTTTTTTTTGTTTGAATTTTTATTGATTTCCGTTTTTTTTAATAGCTTGAAATGTATTTTTTTTTTTTCAATAAAAGTTTAATATAGTAATAAAAACATTGAATATTTTAAATTTTATCAAAAAATACTAGTATTTTTTGTTATAACATTGACTAATCCTTTACACGGTAGGTAATTACAAAAATTATATTAGTCAGCACTTACCATTTAAGGAAATATTTTTTCGGAGTTTAAGTTTTCTCTTAAAAACTTAAAAACTTAAAAACTTAAATGGGTTTTGCAATAACAAAAAAACTATCAATTAAGACAGTACAAAAAATAGTTAAAGGTTTCAATTTTTTTTTTTGTGAAAAAGTTAAGAACCTCAAAGAAATTTTTGTGCTAAATGCGATGGAAACGTCTTTTTTTAATCGATTTTTATCTTTTTTTTTAAATATTCTATTAATGACCTGAGTAATTACCAAAAAACCAAAAGTATTAAAAAAAAAAGTATTTAATTTCAAACAAAAAAAAAACTTTTTTTTTTAAAAAAAAAAGGGCAATAAAGCTATAACCTATGAAGATCGTGTAAAAGTAGTGCATTTTCACCAGGAAGGTAAAACCGCTCGTGAAATTGGAAAAATAATAATACGATCACATAGTTCGGTGCTAACAATCATCAAAAGATTCAGAGAAACGAAATCTTGCGTTGATTGCCATCGTTCTGGAAGACCACGTTTGAAAACACCTAATGATGATTGCCTTTTAATCAGATCAGATTAACAAAGAAAAATCGAACCATACCGTCGCATGAATTAAAAAGGGAAAAGAAGCTTTCAATTGGGCGTCAAGAATCGGCATCACTTATGCGTAGGAAACTAATAGCTAACAATATGCTATAAAAAAAGCTATTCCAAAACCACGACAAAAACCAAACAAAATATAAAAAAGCGAAAAAGAATTTTGCCAAAGTGTCAAAGAATTTTGCCAAAATGTTCTAAAGAAAAATGGCGGATAGTAATGTTCAGTAAATATCGAGGTTGATGAACGAAAAAAACGAATTATGATTAGCAGGCAGCCTTCAGAAAAATATAATCTCGATTTTATCGCTCAAAGAAACAAAACAAGGTAGCGGGTGGATGGAATATGGTGCTGCAAGACATGTTATGGTCTCTGTAAGTTTAAATTATTTGATGGTTGACTCAACTCTATTTATTACGTCAATATTTTAAATAACAACTTGTTTCCATCATTTGATGCACTTGAGCAAAGAGTGTCGTTCATTTTTCAGCAAGACAATACACCATGTCACAAGACTAAAATTGTCTCTGAATGGTTCGAAAGCAAAAATATTGAGCGTCTAACTTGGCCACCAAATAACTCAGATCTAAATTGCATTGAAAATCTTTGGAGGTGGCTTGATAAAGAGATTGCCAAGAAAGCACCAAGGAGCTTTGAGGAGTTGCACAATATTTTACCAACAATACTTGGAAATGTTTCCAAACATGTTTTAGAGAATTTAATAGGCTGAATGCCATATTGTATAAATGAGTGCATAAAAAATCATGGTGAAATAACGAGGTATTATGTAAAAATTACCGTTTTTTGTTCTGTGGTTCCTAATTTTTTCACAACTTTTTTCAAATGTACAAAACCTTATATAAATTTTTTTATTTGTTTAAAAGTCTTTGGCGTTTTTATTATTTTTCATTTTGTTTGTCTATTTTCTAAAAGTTATTTTTTTTTTTTTTTACCACAAAAATATATTCGACTAAATAAAAATTTAAAAATAAAAATAAGTTATAATTTGTTTTTTGGTGTTTCTTAAATTTTTCACAATACTTTATAAAAGTTGTATTGACCCAAATAATAACGCGTGTTAAAAATTCCTTGATTATGGTACTATGCAACAATAACAATAAAAGGAGTGGTTTTATATCCATACTAGTTTAAACAGGAAGTTTTCTCAAACAAAAAATAACATAAAATTATCAGAAAAAGTTAGGATCAATTTATCGATAACAACGAGCACAGTATATATATATATATATATATATATATATATATATATATATATATATATATATATATATATATATATATATATATATATATATATATATATATATATATATATATATATATATATATATATATATATATATATATATATATATATATATATATATATATATATATATATATATATATATATATATATATATATATATATATATATATATATATATATATTTATAAACAAAGCTACATATTTTTCACTACAATAAGTTTCATGCTAAATATAATCATTAGGTGTAACACCTGATGATTGCATTTAGCATGAAACTTATAGTAGTGAAAAATATGAAATATGTGTTAAAATATAAAAATATGTGTTAAAAATTCCTTGATTATGGTACTATGCAACAATAACAATAAAAGGAGTGGTTTTATATCCATACTAGTTTAAACAGGAAGTTTTCTCAAACAAAAAATAACATAAAATTATCAGAAAAAGTTAGGATCAATTTATTGGTAACAACGAGCACAGTATATATGTATATATATATATATATATATATATATATATATATATATATATATATATATATATATATATATATATATATATATATATATATATATATATATATACATGTATATATATATATATATATATATATATATATATATATATATATATATATATATATATATATATATATATATATATATATATATATATATATATATATTTATAAACAATGCTTCATATTTTTCTATATTTTTATATTTTATATTTTATATATATATATATTTCTATATTTTATATATATATATATATATATTTCTATATTTTATATATATATATTTCTATATTTTATATATATATATATATATATATATATATATATATATATATATATATATATATATATATATATATATATATATATATATATATATATATATATATATATATATATATATATATATATATATATATATATATATATATATTTATAAACAAAGCTACATATTTTTCACTACAATAAGTTTCATGCTAAATATAATCATTAGGTGTAACACCTGATGATTGCATTTAGCATGAAACATATAGTAGTGAAAAATATGAAGTTTTATTTATAAAAAATATATATAAATAGCTCTCTTTTAATTTAAATCATTGTTATTTACTTTAATTCATTAACACTTATACGAAGATATATGCAAGCACTAATACGTATACATATGTATATATATATATATATATATACATATATATATATATATATATATATATATATATATATATATATATATATATATATATATATATATATATATATATATATATATATATATATATATATATATATATTTATATATATATATATATATATATATATATATATATATATTTATATATATATATATATATATATATATATATATATATATATATATATATATATATATATATATATATATATATATATATATATTTATATATATATATATATATATATATATATATATATATATATATACAGGCCCGCCCAGAGCTTTTGTGATGCCCGGGTCCAAAAGTTTAATGGATGCCTTATCATACTTTAGGTCTTAAAATAGCAAATAAATTAATATAGTTTACTTTCATAAAAAACCTAAAGTCACATTAAATTTTGGTTTGCAAAAACAAACTCTGATAAAATCAATTCTTAATTGACAAATACATCTTCCGCGCCTTCTTAGCAGCAAAATTTGAAATAACTTCTTCATAATTAACGTTAATTGCTAAATCTGATTCGATTGAAAGGATCATCAAGTAGCACAATCGCTCCTGGCCCATTGTGGAACGAAGACAATCTTGGATGATAGCTAACTTGCTGAAGGATCTTTCTCCTTCAGATGTTGAAACGGGCAATGTTAGAAAGATTCTAAGAGAAACACACACTTGCGGAAATATTGAATGCAGCCCCTTTGCTCAAACTTTATTTAGAAGTTCGACAGGCTTTTTGCTGGCTAGAATATTTCTTCTTACGGAAAAGAAAAGGCCGAACTTCATCAGAAAATTCGTTTTTACATAAGTCTTCTGGGTAAAGTTTAGCCAGATTCTCAGCTTTTAAACCTAGTTCTTGGTCTGTTTGAGATTTCTGTAAAGACCAAAGGAAGGAAAACTTGCTACATTCCTCTTCTTTTACTTTAAATCTTGATCTCATTTGACTAGTCAGATTGTCGAGTCCAACATTGAAGACATTACACTCAAAGTTATTTGATGCTTCTTCGTGGTTGTAACCAGTAGTTTCATCTGGGATGATCTATTTTCGCGTTCTATTCACAGTAAACATTATATTATCAAATTTCAAGTTCTTTGCAACTTCTGTTGCCTCTATCAAAATCAGGTCCCAAGACAGACGGATTTGATCCAGATCCATCAAAAGGCCATTTAGAATCTTTACTTCATCGTCGAGAGTGAGTTGAGTGGATTGAAGCAGAAGACTCACGTTGTTAACTGCCATCAAAGATTTAAACCAAAAAGTAGTGAAAACAACAAATTCAAAAGAATTCATCCATTTAATGAGATAATGCACTTCATTACTACTTTCGCCTGGAAGGTCTAACTCTTTTAGACGATGTAATGATTTCAAGATCTCTCTTGGCTTTTTTTCTAGTGGATTATTCTGTCTTATCAAAGCTTGAACATCATTGTAAATGCCTGCCATATTAGCGCCGTTGTCGTAGCCTTGACCACGACAATTTTTTATGTCGAGCTCATTCTCTTCCAACACATTCAATATCAAATTTGTTATATTAGATCCCTTTTTCTTTTCAAGTTCTTCTAGCTTAACGAATCTTTCTTTGATCTCCCACAGCTGATTATCATTGAAATGCAAAAAACGAAAAACAAAAGTTATTTGCTCGCTGTGGGACGAATCGGGAGTGCTGTCCGTGATGATGGTGAAATATATTGATTTTTGATTTCTCAAATATATTCTCGAACCACTAAATTGCCGCATTCCTTGATAAATTCATTTTGTGATTTCCAGGATAAATAATGAGCTTGCATGCGTTTTTCTTCTTCATGGTGCTTAGCAATAAGATGCATATGATCTTGTAATGTTTTGTTGTGGCGAGCAATTAATTCGAGCACTTCCATTCCCATTTTTGAACAACTTTTGATTGGATCCTAATTACAAACAAAAAAAATCAAAATAGTAATCCATATTTATATCCAATTAAAACTTGTAATTTTGATTTTTAAATTACAAATAAAATAATCTAAAATATAATTTAAAATTTAAAAACAATATTCTTAGCCCTAAAAGCTAAGTTTCTTGAAGCTAGAAAAATTGTGACGTCAAGAATGCACTGTAAAATTACTTTCCATCGCTTTGTTCATCTCCAATTTGTTTTTCTAACTGATGGTCAATGGACTTTTAACTTTTCAAGTGAATCGTAGCTGTTTTCCATTGGAGATAACAGTTACGGTGAAAATCGCTTTGTTGATGACTTTTAATGCGATCTGAAAGTTTTTTCCAATTTCCATGTATACCTCCATTCCAAGACAACAAACTGGATTGAATACCGGGTTTGGTTAAGTTAGGCGATCCAAAAAGGGAGCAAGGGAAACAAAAGAGTGATGCCACAGCCTTACTTCAAACGAGCCAATCTCTTCTAACTTTTTTTCCGTTTCTTTGTTCCTCTAAAAAGATATAAGTAGGGAATTTGCGTTCTTTTTGATCTCTTGGAAAATTGCTAGAATTTGAAGAAGGTCCCATCAGAATTATATTTGTTCGATCAGTGTCTAATATTTATTTCCATAGAGCAGGATCGTTAGAGATTGGTATAGAAAGATCACTTTTATAAATTTGTTGGTCATTGTGACAATCAAGTACAAAATCCAATTGATCCTTTTTTATATGTGATAATTTTTTTTGGGAGTCATCGATGTCATCAGCAAGAAAAAGTTTGTCGGAATTATGGTCTGGCAGCTCATTAGAGTCATTGATACCGATCTCAATATCATTGAACTATCAAGAAGTATTAAACAGAATTATTCTAATTAATTTTTCATGAACGTCACAAGATTTAAAAATAGTTTAACTAAATGCTTGCATTTATCTTCGATTTTTGTCCAACGAACGCAATCTAAAAGCGTTCGTTTGTTTTTGCTTGCGTTTTTTTCCGAATCATCGCTCTTTTTCTCCCAGCAGCTCCAGACAGCTGGTTCAATCGTGGAGGTCTTTGATTATTCATGCTAAAACTTATGACGATATAAAGAATTTTAATTTTTTAAATTTTAAAAATTAAAAACTTTATAATACTTTGGTGTTATTAATTGCAGAGAAAAAGTCAGTACTTACAATTAAAATATCCACTGAAGATAAGTTTCTTGTCAAAATATAGTCGGAACAAAATGCAGGCGAGTCAAAAACATACATATGCACTAAAGTATCCACAGGGACGCAAGGTTTAAGCAAAAATAAGTTAAACTATTAGAAGTTAGGCTTTTACAAACGTTAAATAAGAAAAATTTTTTAACGCTTTTTATTCTTTCATGCAAACAAATGGCTAATGAAAACGCGTGCGCTCAAATGGATAATGAAAACCTTGTAAAGTAATAATTATCCTATTTTAAATGCAAACAAAGTTTAAAAGAAGAAAGAAATTAATACACAAAAATTGCTTAATCTTTAAATACGTTATCAGCTAAATTTTTTATCATTTCAATAATTTTTTTTAAGGCATGTGATGCCCCATAGACTGTGATGCCCGGGGCAATCTACTTCAATTGCCCCCCCCCACCCTCTTGGCGGCCCTATATATATATATATATATATATATATATATATATATATATATATATATATATATTTATATATATATATATATATATATATATATATATATATATATTCTTTTGAAAATTTTTTGATGTTTCCAATTTAATAGTATGAGAAAATTAGTTTTTTTATTTTTTCAGGTATTTTGTGTTTACGAGTAAGCACCATGAAGGTTTTACACACTGGAAATAAGATGAGTCATGGAACTAAAATTCTGTAGATTTGGGTCCTAAAATAGATGTTTTAGGTCTTCATTGTTTATTTTAATCTCTTAAATTAAACATTATTTATATTGCTATAAATTTTATTATTATATACTTATTTATATTACTATAATTGAAAATATTTTATTTCTTTGATTAAATTAAATTAATATAAAACCGTTTGTGGAATAAGTCTCACAAAGACCAAATAGGTAAATTTAACATAAGGGAAGTTTTTACAAATAAAAAACTAATTTGAAATTTTAAACCTTTTGAAAAACATTTTTAGTTTTAGATTCAAATGTGGAAAAGATTGCATCTTTGTAATTCAGTGGTGAAAACTATTATCCTTAATTATAGCTATGAGGTATAACAGCCATAGGTATTATGCATATTGTTATGCTTGGTCTGGGCTTTGCATTAACCTTTGTATCAGATTATCAATTTGTTGTAAAAAGTCTCTGAATTATTTAACTATTTTTTACTGTGTTTCCATTAAACGACATTTCATTGAAATATTTTTTTATTAATCTCTTTTTTCCTAAAACTACATTCCTTTCAATGTTAACTTTGATGATTTGACTAAGGTTTTTATCATTTTAAGTCAACATTATTGCTGACTTTAATAATAATTACATTGAAAGACTAATTTCTAGTAACGTTGGTTTTGATCGCACTTGAAACTCTATTTTTTTTTTTAATCTTAATTAAACCTCATACTGAAATAGTTAACTTTATGACTCTTTACGACGTTATGCAATAATGTTTACAGTATGTAAACTAATACTGTAAACATTGTGGCGCAATATTTAGTTTAATAAAATATCTTTTGATTAACTTATCGTCCAATTATTATATAGATTAACTTATCTTTCAATTACAAATAAATTTAAAAAAGTGTATTACCAGAAAAAATCTATACAAAAAATCAAAAGAAAAACATTATTGTCCTATAATTGTCTTTCTTGACTTTTGAAATAGGTTCCTTTATTATTGGGGTGCTAAGATTTAAAACCTCCCAAACATAGTTATAAATCATCGTGTTTTAAAGCTTAGTTAAGAAATAATTCTTTGTAAGATCTACTTTATTATTCATTTGTTTATTTTTTAGAGAACGCACAATGATGGGAGTTTTTAACTAAGCTGTATAAATATTTATGAAAAATTTTTTTAAAAAAATATCTTATAGTATTTCTAATAATTGTACTACCATCAATAAATTACTATCCAAAACTGTCTTCAGTACTCTCAAAATTATTTAACAAGGGTAACAAGCGAATTTGATTTTCCTGTCAGACGGAAAATTGAAGACCATATATAACTCATTACAACGTTTGCATCTGCTATAATTGCAACAGGCAAAATTGCTTTTTTTAATCGTGTCATTTTTTTAAAATCATGATTCTGTTTTTTCTATTTATACATTTTTAATTTTTTCTTGTATCAATGAGTGTTTCGAACGTTGGGCTGGTTTATCTGGGATTGCTATTGTAAATGAAATTAGACCTTGTCTAGTTGCGAAAACAAAACGCTATTTAATCGTAGTAAAGTTGAAATGTTTTTCAATCTAAATTGAGCTTTATTTAGTCTTTGTAGCATTTCTTGCTTCATTAACCCAACTCAAATAGGGCAGCCAATTTATGTTTTAACCATTTAAAACATTAATTGACATTTAACCATTTAAAACATTAATTGGGATCTATTACTGTTTCACAACAGAAGTCATCTTTACTAACCAAGTGGCTAACTCATAAAAAAATATGCTAAAAAAGCTACAACAGAATTCAGTACAGAGCATAATAGTGTGCTTTTCCTTAACAGAAAATTTCCATAAACATGTTCCTTTGTAAATTCTAACTAATATTCTTGTATATATTCTGTCAAGGTGTATATATATATACATATATATATATATATATATATATATATATATATATATATATATATATATATATATATATATATATATATATATATATATATATATATATATATATAAATATATATATATATATATATATATATATATATATATATATATATATATATATATATATATGTATATATATATATATATATATATATATATATATATTATATATATATATATATATATATATATATATATATATATATATATTTATTTATATGTATATATATATATATATATATATATATATATATATATATATATATATATATATATATATATATATATATATATATATATATATATATATATATATATATATATATATATATATATATACATTTTTTACCTACGATTCCTATAAATACCTTTAATGACTTATCCCTGTAGATAGTTTAATCCTAAATATTTTGTTGAACCTAATTTTAATATGTTAAACCTAATTTTAAAATAATATGTTAAACCTAATAAAACACATTTAGCCTAGATCCTACTAACTCGAACATATTTAATAATTTTTAGACCTACCTGTAGTTGACTGGCAACATTTTATTGTCTCTTCTCTGACTTTTTTGATACCGAAGATTGAAAGAAAAGTATTGAAACTGACCTGTACAAACTCGTCTTTTAAATTTAAAAAAGTCTTGTGAATTTAGGTGGTATTATTTAATTTGAGAGTACTTTTTTATCGTGGTCACCTTTTTGCGACATTGCACACTGTTATAAGCCAAGCTAGAAAAGAATCTTGCAAATCTTTAGTTGACATTGCATTAAACTCAGCCAATATACACGACTTATCATTTTTTTACAATTTTAAAACAATTCAATCTTGTGCATTTGAACTATGGTCCGGTTGTGTGATTTAAAAGTTTTTTTATTTTTTATTTTAAAGTTCCAGTTTATTGTTTTGTTTTGTTTATTTGTAAGCTTGACGCACTCATCGAATTGCGACATCTTTGATCTTATTATTCAGCGTTGTATTTCATTGGATTGTTTAGTCACGTGGCGTAAAATATCGTATGAATTTAGTTACTTTGCTTTTACTTTCAAGGTAACAACCGCTTATTTTTTCGTTGGACAAGTTATTTTCTTATTAATATTTTCTAGGTATATAACTGTTTTTTTCTACTTAAAAAGTAGTTATATATATATATATATATACATATATATATATATATATATATATATATATATATATATATATATATATATATATATATATATATATATATATATATATATATATATATATATATATATATATATATATATATATATATATATATATATATATATATATATATATATATATAATTGGTGTATTGTATTGTATCTGTATTTAAATGCTTTAAGTTTGGATTCCAATATCATGTATATTGGTTTTATTATTGAGTGCTTCTAATTTTTCAGTATTTTCAACTTTTGTAAAAAAATTTTGAAAATGTTTAAGTGGAGAAGAAAACGCTGCTGCACACCTTATCTGTAGCCGTAGATGTACACTATCGGTACCCGTTGACTTGTTTTCATCCATAGTTTTGAGTGTCTTCTGTAATTCATTTTGTGCTATAAAATGCGTCTTTATTGTAAATGTAACCTCTTTACATAGTTTAAAATCTCGCAATGGACCTGGCCTCGTATTCGATTTTTTATATTCTGCATTTTATTAATGTAAACGTGAATCAATTTTGGGTATTGTTAAAAAGATTGAACAGTTGGTGATTCAATAGTAGAACTGCTTATAAACCTCTTTATTAAACTATTTGCATGATTTGCCGTATTTGTTTTGAAGAAATTTATGTGTAAAGCTTTTAAGAAATTTATGCGTTAAGTTTTGTTCACTCATTTTGACTTCATTAGCAGTAATACTTTTTCTAATGTATTTAGTGATTTTTTCTATATACCGAATATTTGACTTCGGCACCAAATACTCGGCTGTCAAATATTCGGAGACACTTTGTTATTTTGAGAGTTTAGACCTGCATCGTTGAAGTACACTTTTCAACTACACTATGAGCGTTTTATTTTATTTGTGACTTGGTTGTGTCACAGAACGCATTATTTTATGAAATAACAGGATCACTGGAAGCTAGGAGTCTATTGATAAGATAAGTATTTGTTGCTTTTCTGAATGTTTTTTGGCTGAAATTTTTGCGATAATATTTGAAGTCTTTATTTCTAACCTTTTGAGCTTCCTCTAACATATTTTACACAGTCTATAAATTAATTAAAAAAATCAAGTGTTTCTTATCTGTGTCTTGAAAAAAAAAGTAAAAAATAAAAAATAATTTCCGGCATTCTGGCTTAAAATTTTGTAATTCCAGTCGGTGTTGTAATAAAAATCACCGATTCCAATTGCAATTCCGGCCGTAACGGAATTCCAGTACATCCTTACTATCAAAAGTAAGTCAAAAAAACCCTTTGAAAAATTAAAATATTATATAAGACTAACATTCCTGTAAGGTTTCAAAATTGTAAACTTATTATATATTGAGATGCTATGTTTTAAATTACACCACGTTTTTGAACAAAATTAAAGGTATTCATTTTTTTATATCATTTATAGGCAGAATAAGAAATCTATTTTTTTTTTTTTTTTTTTTTTTTATATAATTAAGTATTACAAAAAATATCAATAAACAGCTTAAACACAGAAAAAAAAATGTTTCTATCACCTTAAATAGCTAGAAAAAAATATAGGTTTTCCACACAATCAATTTCTAGTTTGTACAAGTAAATATTATGATCACTTATTACTTATAACAAGTTACTTAATATCTAACCCGCTAAACCAATTAATAAGTGTTTGGCTCTTTTTTGAAGGGTAGCTAACAGCATTGCTAGATAAATTTTAAAAAATAAATAACCTGAAACTTTATCAAAACTGATTAAAAAGGTATGGTAGGGGATTTAATTTTTTTGGAATGAAAGTAGTGGTATACAGGATGCAGTTTTAATTAAAAAATTAATTCTCATCATTTTTTATGACTTCTACTATAACAAATTAATTCCAAGTTTATAATAAAATATTTTATAAAACGCCAAACAGCATTTTTTACAAAATATTATGTTTACCCAAATTTTTATAAACCTTTCATGCATAATGCGCTGAAGCAGAATCTAGTAATCTAGTAAAGTTTTTATTTATTTATTTATTAGTCAGAACATAAAATTTTATGATAAAATTTGTCAATAAAAAATTTATATTAATTTTATGCAAAAAAGGAATTTATCAGATTAGTATGTCAATACTACTAATTACCTAATCTACATGCCAAGTCAGTCTGACAGAACCAATAATTTAGGTAATGCTAGTTAGGTAAGTTAGCTCAGTTAGGTAATGACTTTATTTTCAACTTTATTTTTTTGTTTAAGATTATCGGAAATCAAAACTCCGAGATCTCTCTCTAAAGAGGTTAATTAAACTTTTTGATGTTGTCCAGGGCCACTATATTCAGATATAATATAATTTGCGTTAGACTTTGTTTAAATACAATTAAATTGCATAACTTTGCATTTTTTAAATTTAATTTTACATGCAACTTTTTACAACATAGGACTGTATTATCTTTTTGTAATAGAATATCCTCCGTGTCATATTAATTCCAATTATTTTACTATCGCCAGCATAGAGTTTTATAAAATGGCAGCTAGGTAATCATTGTAATAGAGAATACATGAAATGGTCTAGTACAGAACCCTGAGGTACACCGCTAGTAACGTCTCCAATCAGAAACAGAATCACCCAATACTACTCTTTGCTTTCTGTTTCTGAGCAACGCTTTGATCCATGAAATAAATTGACTTTGTATGTCACGTGCTCTTATCTTATGAATGAGTCAGCAATGGGACACTTTATCAAACGTATTCTTTAAGTTAGTACACTATGTCGACTCGATAATTGTCTTGTATGGCTTCTGTAATAATGTCCAGAGTTTCAAGTAAATCGGTAACCAACCTTTTTTTACTTAAAACCGTGTTGAGATTTTGAGATAATATTGTTTTCATTAAAGTATTTCTTAATTGCTTTATATATTTTTATAATTGTTTTACGTATAAGTAACAATTATTATATGGAATCATTGTTATTTTTATAAATACTTGGTTTGTTTATTTTATTTGGGACCGTATATTATTTTAGTCTATTCTTTCTTACCATTATTTAATAATAATTCATAATTTTTTCATAAAATAGTTTAATAATAATTATTACCATTATTTAATAATAATTCATAAAGTGTTACAGTAATTTTTTTCTATTTATAAGAAATGAAATGAAAAAATAAGATAAAATAAAAATAGAAACATGAAACTCTTAAATTTACTGTAAATCCTATGCAAACTCTATTATCTCCTAATGAAAGTGCAGCTCTAAAAATCTAAAGATTTTTGGTTCTAAGCCCAGCTGGCAAACAGATTTCCCGAACTCTGTGATAGCTGTTAGAGAGGCTGATTCCATCAATAACTGTAAAATTTTAGATTACTTACAGCGTTATGTTGTGCATGGATGCTGTCTCTGTTTATACTTTTGGTATTTACCACATTCATAGTCCTTTGTTACAGCTTGGGTTTATAAATAGTAAAAAGGGTTTATTAGTAGTAAGGAGGCAACTACTTGGACTATTCAATAGTGTACTGAGTACTATCTGTGCTTTGAGTCAAGTTCTTGAACAAATTTAAAATAACAAAAAACCATCGTCATCACCAAGTTCTCTAAATCTGTCATTCACTAATATTCGTGGTCTTTAAAGTAACTTTTTCTTCTGTTTAGTCTCATCTCTTGCAAAGTTCACCTGACTTATTTATTTTTGTAAGACTAATTTACGTCCAGTTATCTCACCTTGTGATCATTGTGTTGATGGTTATCTTATCCAATTGTCACATGCTTGGCCTGGAAATTTACAATCGTAAGAACTCCGCTTTTCATCGGGAAACTAAATTTGAATCCACAGACTATTATTTTATGTTTTTTCGTTAAGCACCACTTTACTCTATTGTTTTTCTCTTTATTCTATATTTCTCTCGTTTATCTTAAGACTGCACTCTTTTTGATGTTTTTTCTGATCAAATTGACCAAGTTCTTTCTCGTTATCTTTTAACCAAAATCTTTATTAATATTGACTAATGCTCATTACACTGAATGGCTTCGTTCTAGGGTTAGTAGTTCTGAAGGTGTTGAAGTCCTTTAACTTTGCCTTTCACAACTTCTAACACAGATAGTCAACTTTCTAACTTGCTCTTCAGACTACTTGAATCCTTTACCTTCTCTAGTCAACTTATGTCTTGATTATGATTCTGGTCAGTGCTCAGTTTTTACATATTTACCATTAAAGCTGCTAATCAAGCTTTGATCTCTCTCGAAAATTTTTATCTCATTCTTTTTTATCATCAGAATCCCCCTATCATCTTAGCTCTTACAGCTACCTTAAAGCTGACTTGGACTCTTTCCGTGACTTTCTTTGTGATTCCCCTTGAGTAGAAATCTTTATTTTTCTGCTAAAAAATGTGCTTCTTATTTAATTTCTTGGATTTATGCTGGCATGGAATCTTTTACTTCCTCACGAGAATTCCAAGTCAAGCCTCACTCCTCCTAATTATTTATATAATTAGTTAAATAGTCATTATGTTTCTTTTGCACCTTTTTTCTGGAAACTAATCTTTTTGACTACCTGAAGGCAACCCTTTAACCATTTAATCACCATTCCTTTACTTCTTGTAACAATCTCTTTCTAATATTTAGAGAGACAAGAAAAAAAATTACTGTCGCAATCAATCGTTGTCGCAAATTGTGCTGCTCTTGTAATTTAACTATATAAAAATAATAAAGCTGTTTATTGTTTGTTTGCATAAAAAATTATAAAGTTCTTTATTGTTTGTTTTCAGAAAAAATTATAAAGCTGATTTTTGTTTTTTTGCAGAAAAAAACTTTTCCACAACTTTATGATTTGGTTAAGAAGTGCAAACCTTATTATATTTGGTCTGATGGTGATTGGGAGGCTAATAGTGACTATTGGAACAGTACTAATTTTCTTGCATGGTTATACAATGAGTGGTATTTTATTGAAACACGATAATGATGCTTATTTGAAAAAGATGCTACATATAATAAAAGCTAAATAAAAAACAGTATAGCAATAAATTATTTTTTGCTATTGTTGGAAACATTTAGTTAAAAAAATAAAATTAAATGTTAACAAATATAAGAATAAAATAAAGATTTAGAATATAAAGCTAATATAAAAAATGTTTTAAAATAGATTTTCATTGTTAAATGTTTTCCTTAAAAAAACCGAGGCAATAATTTGACACTTTTTTGTGTTGGATGAGAACGAAGTAAAAATATGTTGTTTTTCAAGGGTCAGTGTTACGAATAACATTTGAAAATTATGCAGTGATACTGTTGCAAAACGTCACAGGCAACCAAAGTAATTCAAATAAAGATAGAAGTTTAGAAAATTTCGCAAACAATATTAGGAATTAGTTCATTTGCTTCTTTTTTATGTTGTGCTTCTTGAACAACTAATTATAAATATCTAGATTAAAATTGAACCGATAAATATCTAGATAAGAATTGGTATTATTTTTGCTCGATTTACTAAGAAGTATTATTTATACCTATATTTAAAAACAGCAGTTTATTTTAAATCCAGCAAAAGTACTATAACATAAAATTAAATCCTGGAAAAAAATAATTAGCCCACTGCCGAAAAAACATTTTTTAAAAATGTAAGAAACTTACTGCTAAATGGGAATCCCCGTTCGGAAGCCAAACAATTCTAACAAGAAGCAGAGGTTGTCTAAAAGTTTGTTATTTATACCTTATATACTACAATTTTGAACTTTTTTTGGGTTTTTCCGAATCTTTCCAGTTTATCTATTATACATCCTTGGTAAGAGGGTTTATTATCATTATTTAGTTGTTTTAAAAGACTCAACACAGCTCAAATTTTGAAATTTTAGTATTCCCTGTTGTCATGAAAAATTTTTTTTTCTAGTGTTCGTTTTTAATTTAAATGATTTAAATTTTTATAAAGCCTCGTATTTGAAAATGGGAGGTTTCGATATTTTTCGCCATGATAATTTAAGTTTTTTTATCTTATATTCTAAACTTCTAAGATATATAATATTTTCGTATGACTATAATTTTTTTTTTCAATTTTGTATAAATCGTATTCAAAAACCTTGTTAGCTCTTATAAATAAGTTTCATACATGAACTTTGAATAGTACAATAAAAGTTGTGTTTTTATAAAGTTGTGAATAAATATTAACGTAGGGAAGAGTGGGGGACCATAAATTAAGGGCACCATAAAATATTTTAACTGTGGAGGCATCTTAAGAGTTGTGACCACCACTTTCATATAGTAAAACAATTACTACTAGAGCTATGATTTCAAAAAATATATATCGTTTGACATCAGGTCCGCGTGGGGTCGAAATTTGTGTTTTTTTGATTTTTTTTGAAGTAGCTTATTGATTTTTAAAATTCATAAGTTTTGAAGTGTCTTATTAAATGTGTTTATCAATCAATGACATTATTTTGTAAAATACAATCCGTAAGTTTTTTATTTCATTAAACAAAATCATTGAAAAAACAAGTTGATATTAAAAATAAGGCAACTGTTTTCTATTAGCAAGTATGGGGTAACTTAAGACAACATTTGTGAGGGGACACTAAAACTGTAGAATAGTACTCCATTGTATTATAGACAATTATAAAATTCATTTATTTTAATATTTATATAATACAAGGATCCCATTTTGACACAAATCCTTTTTTTATTGACTCTTAAGAATGACACTTAAAATGATATATTATCTGGTCATCTGAAATATTATTTCAACAATTGTATGCATTATTTGGGTTATAAACATTAATATTTTTATATTTCAAATACAAATCTGTCTTTTCTATATGTTTTATACTTTTTATTTACCTTTTTAATGATGCTCACAGTGTGTATCAAAGTACCCAATGATTTGGGTACCTTGTAACAAGTTTCTAATTTTACTTTAACTAGTCTCACAAGTTTAACCTGTTATATTTTGGTAATATATAGAATTTATTTTTTGGGTATAAATTTATTCTACAAAATAAACCAATCTCTTAAAAAAAAGGCGTATTAAAAAATTTGTTACGAAGCAAAAACCAAAAGTGTGTCATGGTGCCTCACTTTTCGCTATGACATGGGAACTGTATTTGATGCAAATTTATAAGTTATATAAGTTAACTTAGAAAATTCATCTGATCTTTAACTTACAAAAAAAGTCATTAAGCTTAAAGTTATTGAGTGTAAAACGATATTAGGCTCCATGGTCAACCAAGCTTTATTAAAGCTCAACCATGACTCATTAAGTTATGAATGGGGAGAGAGGGGAGGGAGGAGGGATTAGGGGTTGTAATAAAATGGTGGGTGGGAAACCTAATTTTTTACAAATCTGAAATCTGATTGCACTGATATTTTCTATACTTATCAGTGACTTCAACAATGAAAATCTATTTTTAAAGCTAAAAACATTTTTTATATTAGCTTTATATTATAAATCTTAATGCAAATAAGTTTGGGGTGGGTGGGAAAAGTTTCCGAAATTTAATAAATTTCCACTCCCGTATATTTAACACCTAAAAGTATAAATTTATGGGGGTACTAAGATTAGTAGATGTTTAGTTATTAACCAGAGAGCATTTTTGAAACATTACTTTGATTTATAACTAAGAGTTAACTATTATTAGTTTGATTTTAGTTGTTTTATATTGTTAGCCTCTCAACACGGCCTCAAGCATTTACTAATTTTAAAAGAAAACTAAAATGGAAATTAAATAAAAAAGGAACGTTTCACAAAAAAAGTGTTTCAAAACATTATTTTTTGAGTAAAAAGTTGTATTAAGTTGCAGTAAATGTATGCAACCTCAATGACAAATCAAATCACACTTAGAAAACATGCAGAAGACCAGCATCCCAGACTTTTATGTTTCAGATTCAAAACTTTTATGTTTCCAATTCAATTGTAACAACCCTTGAACTGCCTTTGTTATTTAATCGACTATAAATTCTTTCTGTTAAAACGCTTTACAAATTACACTACAGATGAGGAGGCTATTTGTGGTTATAACCCTCTCTCAACTCTATAACTTCGAAACACGAACCTTGAAAAACAAGGCCGCTGGGCGGAGAAACAAGTTGAGCGCGGTACTACCAGGAACGTGGTGGGAATCGAACTCGGAACCTCAAATTTATGAAGCGAGTGCTAAATACTACACCACTACCGCCTTTAGTTTGTTAAAGAGTTTGTTAAAGAGGTTGTTGAACAACTTCTGGAGTTTTTTAAAAACTGAAACTATAGTTGCCATTTTTCCAGCAAATAAAAAAAAATTATGTTTGGTTACCGCATGTTTAGAATATTATGAAGAAAGTTCTAGATAAGACTTCAATAAGGCGGTGACAAAATTATTTTACGGGCGTTTTAAAGTTTTAAAGAGCTTAAGTAAGAAAATTGTGAGGTCAGGTTATCCTGCTTATCACCGCCAGGTCAGGTTATCCATCTACTGGTAACATGTAACCCAGTACAATCTGCTACATGTCCTACTGCCTTGCAGGATACGCTCTTTTAGGCAAAGGCTAGGAGAAACCAACTCTAACTTAAAACACTCCCTGTCTTGGGGCTCTTGGTTAAATAAAGGCTAAAGATAGTGTCTTGATTAAAACAATCATCTTGGGAAGATGTTAAATGCATCCGGCTACTGTCTTTTAGAGGGCCTACTAGGCAAACACTTAAGGGATAAACAGATTCTATCTGTTGAAGCCTCTCACCCCTTCTTCGTCTATTTGGCTAGCGCAGATGTATTTATAATAAATTGTTTCTATTTTATGATGTTGAATGCTAAATACTCTTGACTAAATGCATGGGTTTTGCTTGTGTCTCTGTTTTTATGACTATGCAACTCATTCTATTATATCTTAGTGAGAGTACAGCACTAAAACTCAGTTTAATGGTACTAAGGCTAGCTTATAGTCAGGTTTCCGAACTCTGTGGTAGCTCACAGAGAGACTGATTTCATCAACAGCTGAAAAATATCAGGGTACTAACAGTACCATGTTGCGCATGGGTGGCGTTCCTGTTTGTACTTTTGTTGTGCATTTGAAGGTCACATTTGGAGTCTTTTGTTACGGCTTACGGTTTATTAGTAGTAATGAGGCAATTGTTTGAGCTACTAAATAGTGTACTGAGTACTATCTATTATTTGAGTCAAATTTTTTAACAAATTATAAAATGATTAAAATACCGAAAGCAATAAACACAAAAGATCGTCGTCATCATTAAATTCTCCGAACCTATCATTCGCTAATATTCGTGGTCTTAGAAGTAACTTTTCTCATGAAGAGTCTTATCTCTTGCGAATTTCACCAGAGCTACTTGCTCTTTGTGAAATTAGTTTGAGTTCAGCTGTCTCATCTTGTGATCTAAGTGTTGATGGTTATCTTTCTTTATTTCGCAAAGACTCAAATAATCACATGTTTAACCAGGGCATTTACATTTGTAAAAATTCACCGATTCGTCGGAAAACAAATTGTGGTTTGAATTCACAGACTATATATTTATGTGCTTTCATATAGCACCCTTTCACTCGATTGCCTTTCTCTTTGTTCTACATCGCTCTCATTTTATGGCTGCACTCTTTTTGATGTTATTTCTGATAAAATTGGCCTGGTCCTCTCTCTTTTCTCATTAGCTAATATTGTTGGTGACTTTAATGCTCATTACACTGAATGGCTTGGCACTAGTCACAGTGACTCTGCTGGCGTTAAAGCCCACAATTTTTGCCTTTCTCAATCCCTTACTCAAATAGACAATTTTTCAACTTGCTTTACAGACAACCCGAATCATTTACCTTCTTTACTCAACTTATGTTTTGTTTCTGATCCTAGTCAGTGCTCCATTTCTCCATATTCACTCTTAGAAGCTTTTGATTAATGTTTAATCTCTCTAAAACTGTTATCACATTCTTCTTCATCATGTGAATCCCTATCATCGTGACTATTACAAATACCTT